TGAGTTGGCAGCAGTGGTTCACGCCCTGGAGATTTGGAGGCATTATCTGTACGGCGGCAGATGTGAGATTTATACCGACCACAAGAGCCTACAGTATATCTTCACCCAGAAAGAGCTCAACATGCGTCAAAGGCAATGGTTAGAGCTGGTGAAGGATTATGACTGTACCATTAACTATCATCCGGGCAAGGCGAACGTAGTTGCCGACGCCCTCAGCCGTAAGGGAAAGGGCGAGCTGACATGTATGATCACTCAACAGCGTCAGTTGATTCATGAGTTCGCTCGGATGCAGCTAGAAGTGGTCGAATCACCTCCTAAGTTGCCAGTTGTGGGAGGTATTCGAGCTATGAGAGTGTGGCCCACGCTACGAGACAGGATCCGGAGGGATCAAGCCTTCGACGAGTTCGTTCGCTCGATGGGGGCAAAAGATTCATGCCGGAGGAGTAGAGGGCTTTTACCGAGGCACAGATGGTGCTTTGGAGTACAAGGGAAGGATTGTTGTGCCAAACGTCGAGGCCCTAAAGAAGGAGATCTTGATAAAGGCGCACAGTGCTCCATACTTGGCGCACCCCGGTAGCACCAAGATGTATCACAACTTGAAAGGGTCGTTTTGGTGGAAAGGGATGAAGCGAGACGTCGCCAAGTTTGTCGAGAAGTGCTTGATTTGCCAGCAAGTGAAGGCCGAGCACAAGGTTCCACCAGGACTCTTACAGCCTTTAGAGATCCCGCAGTGAAAGTGGGAGAAGCTGACCATGGACTTTGTCACGGGATTACCAACGTCGTCCGAGCATCACGACGCAGTATGGGTTGTAGTGGACCAGCTGACGAAGTCGGCCACTTTATGTCCGTTAGGATGGACATGTCCATAGAGCAGCTAGCCGAGACGTACCTTCGTGGAATCGTTCGACTTCAAGGCGTTCCTGCCGAGATTGTATTAGATCGTGATCCCCAGTTTACTGGCCATTTTCGGGAGAGTCTGAACGAGTCCATGGGGACGAAATTAAAGTTTAGCTCTGCTTATCACCAACAGACTGACGGGCAGTCGGAACGAACCATCCAGACACTTGAGGACATGCTCCGAGCTTGTGTCCTAGAGCGAGGTGGTTCGTGGGAGAAGTTGTTACCCACTGTGGAGTTTGCCTACAACAACAGCTATCACTCGTCGATCAAGATGGCCCCGTTCGAAGCTTTGTACGGGCGCAAGTGCCGCTCACCCCTTTATTGGGATGAAGTCGGCGGGAAGCATGTTCTCGGTCCCAAGTTGATCGAGAACACAGTGCAGAAGGTTGCCGAGATCCGAGCAAGGCTGAGAGAGGCACAGAGCCGACAGAAGGCCTACGCTAACAAGCGTAGAAGGGAGCTTGAGTTCGAGCAGGGAGACAAGGTGTTCCTGAAAGTCATGCCGATGAAGGGCGTTGTACGTTTTGGGAAGAGGGAGAAGCTGCAGCCTAGATTCATAGGGCCATTCGAGATTCTCGAACGAGTTGGCGTAACAGCCTACCGTCTGGCGTTACCCCCAGAGCTCGTGAGTGTACACAATGTCTTCCATGTGTCGATGTTGAGAAAGTATATGTTCGATCCGAGCCACGTAGTAAACTTTGATGAGTTAGAGGTCAGGTAGAACCTGACGTACGATGAGCAGCCGGTTGCAGTTCTGGACCGAAAGGTCTGTCGACTGAGGAACAGAGATATAGAGCACGTCAAAGTTTGCTGGAGTCGCCACAACGAGTCGAAAGCCACTTAGGAGAGAGAGGCCGAGATCAGAACTCGATATCCAGATTTCGAGTTTTGAGTTGCATCAGTTGTACCTTGTGTACTTTTATTTATGTTCTTATGTATATAGTTCTGTAGTAGGATGTTCTGGCCTAACGTCTTAGTTTTATATTTCCGAGTACGGAAATATTTTAAGGAGGATAGATTGTAACGCCCCAAATCAGTAATAATATTAAGAACGGTTTCACTGCTCGACTATAAGTGATATCCGTATTTTCAGAAATTCCTGAGTTATATTTTATATGCTAAATGCTCACAAGGATAGATTATTCTTTGGAATATTTCTATATTAAGTACAAGTCAAGATCAATCCATTAATTTGGGTTGTTAAAATTAAAGCAAATCGACTCGAGGAATTATCAGCTTCGAACCCTAGTTTGGTTCCAATTATTTTTCAAGTTAATTCTCGAGCCTAGCCAGGTCTTGATATTTTATACTTAGAATAATTTTCTAAGTCTTGGAATATCAAGAAGTAAGCCTTGAACATGTAAACCGAGCTTACCCTAGCCGCTCGTGCCCTAGCCTCGTACCCGAGCCCATCTCGCGCCCGAGGGCACCCGAGCCTTGTCCTAGGCCATGTTATATTCTTGGTTCAAGTCTTGGAAATTTTTTCCTAAGTTTTGGGACCACATGCGCAGCCGAGCCCAAAATGCACGCCCTCGCGCCCAGGCCCAGTGCCGCGCCCAGCAGCCAGCGCCTAGCCCAGCGGCAGCGTGCACAGCCCATCTTCTTGAGCCCAAATGATCAAGTTCTGACCCATTTTCACCCAAGACCTCTTCATGCGTGTATTACACACTTAATGAGGATCATTTTGAGTTAATATGGCCCTGACAAAGTGATTAGCAAAGTCATCAAGCATGGGCAATATTTTAATGGTAGTGCATGTGGGCTAATGAATATTTTAATGTCTTGGGAAGTCCCTTGTCCCCCACCCTCGTGCCAGACCTGACCAGATTCACCTTGTCCCTCATTGTGCTCTGAATACCACCTAGAAGACCACCATAATTCGGACAAAACCACCCAAGACCAACCCTTAATCCATGCGCATGGGAAGTGGAGAGATTCCCACTCATTTTGGTCCTCAACCCTCACACCTTGTGAGCTCCGCCCCTCAGCCTATTTAAGGACTCACCTCCAGTGCATTTTAAGCTCTTGGATCATTAGAAGCTCGAGCAACACTTAGCAAAAATCAGAAAAAGTTGAGGAGGCCTTACCTGCCCATTGCCGTGCGCGTGAAGCCCGGGTGATGAAGATCGCGTGTCCCGATTGCCGATAAGCCACAAACTCGTGCCTTGAATCGCCGATAGGTGCCTCGTAGGTTCACACAACCGCGCCCCTTCGAAACGAATAAAATTGCAAAAGAAATCTAGAAGAAATCTAAGGCAAAGTGTTTGAACAAAAGTTCGGTTTTTCTATTAATTTCTGAATGATCAAAATAACAAGAGGAAGGACCTTTATATAGGCATCAAATAGATCTATTCCTAATCTAACTATAACTCTAATAAAGCAATAAAATATTAGGAGTCCTAAACAACCTAGAAAGCATAAAATAATAAGGAAACTAAAGATCTAGAAGAATTCTAAAGATCCTTGACTTGCGCGGCACGTCCGAAACCCTAACCGCCATGGGTCTCGCATTTGGACGCCTCGCCTATTGCCTCGAGGACTAAGGCATCCTTGTCCCCGCGCACGCGTGCACTCTCCCCATTTGCATTTCCTGATTCCTCGAGGACTATGGTCGCGTACGTCTCCCCGCCAGCGCGTGCCCACGCGGCCTCCTAGCCCGCGCCGCTTGCGTCCCCGACTCCTTCGCGCGCGTCGCCTTTGCGCCCGAGCATACCTGCCTCGAGTACGAGCGCGTTGCCTCCTTTCCGTGCTAACCTCCTCCTCGCGTGATAAGCCCGACTCGCGGCATTCTTGAGTTGTCGTGCCGCATTCTCATCATTCTCGTCCCCTTCAAGTGCTTCCTTGTCCTCAAGGATGAAAGACGGAAATTGGACTCGCATTTCTTCTAAGTCCTCCCATGTCGTTTCTTCCGTCGGCAAATCTTCCCACTCGACCAACACCTCCCATCGATATTGACCAGCCTTCCTACTCTTCCGATATTCGACCGCGCGACCGGGTCGCACAACGATGTGTCCATCTCGTGTCGTTGCCGGCAGTCGGTCATTCACTCGGTGTGACTCACTTAAACTTCGCTTGAGCTGTGAAACATGAATCACCGGGTGGATGTGTGAATCCTCCGGAAGCTCAAGTCGATAGGCCACCTTGCCTACGCGACTCAGAACCTGGTATGGGCCGTAGTAGCGAATGCCGAGCTTGGTTGCGGCCTTTTGTGCCGCCGTACGCTGCTTAAAAAGTCTCAACTTAAGGTAGACAAAGTCACCTTGCTCGAAGCTCTCTTCGCGTCGCTTTGCATCATGATAGGCCTTCATTCGGTTGATCGAGCCTTCAAGATTTTTCTTCAACTCACGCAACATCAGGTCGCGTTCCATTAATTCACGATCAGCCTAGTCGTTTACGGCATTCCCCGCGACATAATTCACTAGCGTTGGAGGCTTTCGCCCGTACACTAGTTCGAAAGGTGTCGCCTTTGTCGAGCTATGATAGGTGGTGTTATACCAATACTCGGCCCAAGGCAAGTACCCTTCCCATTGCTTCGGAAACTGGTGCACATAGCACCTTAGGGATTGCTCCAATGTGCGGTTGGTGACCTCGGTCTGACCGTCCGTTTGTGGGTGGTAGGCCGAGCTCATTGATAGCTCCGTCCCTTGTAGCTTAAAAAACTCGGACCAAAAACTACTCATGAATATCCAGTCACGGTCAGAAACAATCGACCTTGGAATCCCATGTAGCTTCATGATATACTCCACAAACAGCCTTGCGATGGACTTTGCCGTGTACGGGTTCGCCAATGGCACGAAGTGTGCGTACTTGGTCAAACGGTCAACAACGACCATTACGCCATCAAATCCATTTGACAATGGTAACCCTTCGATAACGTCCATCGTGATATCCTCCCAAATCCTAGCTGGTACCGGCAATGGCTGTAGCAGCCCGCCTGGTCGCCGAGCGTCGGCCTTGGTCCGTTGGCACTCATCGCAGCGCGCAACATAGTCGCGCACCGCCCCTTGCTGTCCCGGCCAATAGAAAGTATTGGCCATCCTTGCCCACATCCCATAGAACCCAGAGTGTCCATCTAGCCTAGAATTGTGGAAGTGCTGCAAGATTTTCTCGCGGAGTGGTTTCTCATCCGGCACGAGAACCCGACCTCGATAGAGTAAGAGGCCGTTGTGCCACAAGTTAGTAAGTTTAAACGTTTTTCGAAAACAAAATAAGTATATTTCGAAAACAGTCGCGAAAATTTTTGTAAGTCAAAGTTATAGTAGGCGGGGTGTTACAATATGAGTTTACAAGTAATCAATTCACTATATGACTGCAAACACAAGTTTTATAAACCTAATGAACATCCATATTGCTTCTCAAGTGATGTGGACACTCTGTACAACACAATAGAAGCCACCTTAAAAAGCAGCACAAATTTCAATTTCCATCAAAATCTTCTTCATCAAAGATGTACAAGCATGGAACAGTAGGAACTTGCTCCAGAGGAGAATCAACACGGTCAGCCTCATTTATTTCATGAATTTCCCAACCTAAATGCTCGGCATAGACTCTATCAAAGGCATCGATATTTAGTCCTGAAGCCAGGAAAAGCTCCAGTTCGTTCACAAACCTTTCTGTTCTACCAGTTAAAAAACGCCTAACCGCTTCAGATACTGAAACCCTGAACTCTTTCCGTGCCATTTCACTTGAAATTCTTGGATTATTCGACCAATCTCTGCAGAGAGAGAGAGAGAGAGAGTAAACCTATTAATTTAAAGAGGGTTTAATTTATGAATAATAGTTTACCTAAAATGCCAATTCAGGAGTTCAGTTGATAATTTACTGATTAATATTTTGAAGAGGCTCGAATTTACCTTATCAATGAGTCGATCACGCCAAGTATGTGGTACACGATAACATCCACATCCTCCACCTGCATATGAAGCAAAACAATAGATTTTTATTATGTAATATGCTTCGGTACACAAAATTGGTCCTGAGATGTACATTTATGTGTCATGGATTCGAAAGATAAAAGAAAAGTAGCAGATGAACATTTTGAGTAGAGTTACATACAAAGACAAAACATAGATGAAATGGAGAAAAAAAAAAGAGTAAAAATAAAAACAATTAAGAAACCTGCATTAGCGCCTGAATTTCTCTTCTTAACCAGACTGGCAAAAAATGATTCTGCTTCAAATACTTGCGCAACTTCCAATGACGTGAAACAGATAGTTTATCGGCTAGGTCACCTGCCCCACATTGACAAAAAGAGTATGAATATCAGCACACCATAAAAACAGAGAAATTTCCTAAAGTATGAAAAGATAATTAGAGAGAAGTACCTGGTTCAGTATAGTAACATTTTAATCTATTCCTGTGAGCCCTCGAAAAGAATTCTCTGCTGAAAGAAATAATAAATTACCTCAAACAATTATCTCAAATAGAAATGTAAGAAAGAAAAAATTGTATGACTGACATAGCCTCGAAAGGAATACCTATTCCTCAAACTCCTACAGATATAGTGCTGTTGAAAAGAAGCCCCATCATATCCGTAAATAATGGACAAGTTCTCTGTCTGAAGGACGATATAAATTTAGCAGTGAATTAAGATCCTATCATTAAGCCACAAGAGAAACCTCATATGATTTGAAATATAGTGCCAACCATAATTGCAAGAAAATGGTACTATTTACAGAAAACAAGGCACGGTCACACAGCCAATATTGAGGGAATGCAAAATTATTTTTTCAAAGAAACAAGGCAACAAGAACTCCTGACCAAAATAACTTTCACGAACAAATCTAAAGTCTGAATGAAACTCCAAGGGCATGCTTGTTTACTAATTTACTGCTTTTTTTTAACATAATTATTTTTTTTTTTTTGTTAACCAGTTTGAAAATGTTGGTATGGTTACTTGTTAGTGAAATTTTAAATCTGTATTAAAATAATATTTAAAATAAAATGATTAAAATTGATTTGATGTAAAAATAGGTGATAAAAGATTGAAAATGATAGGTAGTTAAAATTATGAGCGGATGAATAGTGAATTAAAGTTGATGTGATGTGTAAAATGATTGATTGATATTATTTAATTATATTGATAATATTGACAATAGTGGGGTTGAGTTAAATTTTGAGTATGAGTATGAATATTTTTATAAATAAACACACTTTTAAATATTCTCGGTCATCTTGGATTAACATAAATTGTGAAAATTTATATGATTAAACTAACCTTGCATAAAGGACATGCCAGTGTTGAAGATGCGCGTGACCGCTTGCTCGCAACTACATCCGTCCATCTTATGATGCAATTATAGCAAAATTTATCTGCAAGGTAGTGGCTTAGGCATCAAGTGTATTGCAAACCATTATTCCATCCTTTTAAATACTAGATCAAGCAAAAAATACAAATAATAGTATTTATGTCAGCTGAAATTAAGGCCTACAAAGATGTCAGAGTTTCGCAACAATCTACACAAGAGTTACAGAGTTTTTCAGTAGTTCAAACATTCGTTATGAAGTGCAAGAACGGATCTAGAGAGAGATGACGTTCAGCAGAATGATTGGATAAGCTTACACATATTTTTACATAAAAGGGTTTCAACTTAATACTTCAAAATCCTAATTTTGTTTACTTCATCGTCTAAATCCACATACTAACAAAGAAAATAAATAGGAAAAAGTCATAATTGGTTAGACAAAATATATATACACAGAAATAAGCAAACATTGAACCCTAAGCCACAAATCAGATCTTGAATTCCACATTTGCTCAAGAATTTCAATGATGACATAAGGGATTAGATGACCGAGAAAGCATAAAAGGAAAAAGTTTAGTTACTGGAGAAGTTACTCTTAACTTAATAAGATCATTAACTGAAATCAACAGGTCTGAGTTCGTCAAGACCAAGTCAACTAATCCTAATTCTTTACCGTACAGCAGTTGAAACACCAGCTACCGAGGAAATCAAATTTGAAAAAACAGCCTAATAGAATCCTGAAGGGCTGAAATACACAAGACTGCAGATTCTCATAAATTACAAGGAAAATGGTCGAAACGCAACTCAATTTTCAATTCTTTCTCGGTTCCCATACCTCAGAAGTCCAAACTTACAAAAAAAAAAAGAAAGAATACATAACATCAACGTTCTGCCACTTATACTTCAATTACAAACTTGGACTACTTGAAATCACAATAGGCTTAAAGACTACTTTTCAAGATTTTATAACTTAACCCTTCCCATGTGTTATTTATACAATCCCCACATGAAAAGATTGCAATTTGAGGCACCCATTGACCTCATCCAACTATAATTACTCCATCAAACTTCTGAAATTCAATCATTAAGAAGCAGAGCAGCGAATACATATAATGAACAGAAACTACAAAGTACGTTATATGCAAGATTCACTTAAACCCTTACAAAAAAGGAGAAAGGAAAAGCTGTAAATAAACAAAATTGCCATTAAAGAACGCACAAATGTGCTCAAATAAAAAAGAAGAGAGGTTCATAGAAACGTACGGAAACATTTGTCCAGATAAGAGTCTTCGGTGACTGATGCAAGACAAATCGGACACGGATTTGGGTCCGTTTTGGAAGAGGAGACAGTCGGGCTATTAGCTTCAGCCATGCGAGAGAAGATTAAGCTTGAAAAAGATGCCTTTATAGTTTTTGAGAACGACGTCGTTCGTCTTTACGAAACTTCTTTTTATTTTCTCTGTTTTTTCACCTTTCCAATTAACTTTTCTTTCTAGAAAACTGATTTCGGATTGGTTATTTTGGTTAAGAAAAAGTCCTCGCAGGTCTAATTTTTGTGAATAAAAATTTAGCTTAAAATATTAATTAAAAGAAAAAAGAAAGAATAAAAGTTCCCAAACAAAATCAATGTTTTTGTCTCATGAAGAAGAGTTAAAAAAAAGGGTAGGATTAGTATAAGCTATACATTATCTTATCTTGTTAAACTAATCCTTAAACTTGATAGTTGGACGAATACTAAAATAATTTTTGAACCATTATATTTTTACGTTCTTATTTATTGGTTTCTACAACCAAATTTCGATGCAAAAGAATCGAGCGGCTTACGGCTCAGCTCGAGCTCAAACACCTCGAACTCAAACTCGAGCCTATTCGTTGTTAGCTCGAGTGTTTGATGAGCCACTCGAATAAATGTACAATTTACCTACATATCCCTAGCTCAAGCAAGGTTTTAGCCAAACTCGAGCTAAAGTCAAGAAAAAATCTTATTTGAATAGAAAAACTCGAGCTAATGAAATTCTGAGTCGATCTCGAGCATTTGTGTATTTTTTGATGAAATCGAGCCAAGCATTGAAAAGTCGAGCTCGAGCAGCAGCAAACAAAATCGAGTTCAGCTCAATAAGACCATTGCTCAAGAGGAGGCACACTAGCCCTCCGCGTGTAATCCGATATGGCAGAGCAAAAACAGAATAAAATCATTGTATTCAAATAAATCAAATCATTTGTACAAACTGCACATAAACATCAATAAGCAATGGGTATATCATTTCGAGTACAGGGGAATGGGAAAAGCTTTTATAAAACTTGTGCTAAAATCCATCTTCAAACACAATTTACATTTTACAAGCCTGGAACTTTCAGACCTTCAAAGTAAAATAGAAGTATATAATCCTACAACAATAAATTTGGCACATAAACTGAAAGGGTGAAGTTCAACTTATGCTAGTCAGAGCTCTCCACTTAATTTTGTGTAGTAATAAATGCAACAACAAAGTATATGGAGATGAGAACAGCAGGGTATAAACAAAGAATGAAGTTAAACAAAACACCAAATTATGATTTGCATTTTTTGTAGAGTAAGCCAATCCATTAGATTTACCTGATTCATGAAGTTTCATTTTTTCAAACATAACTCAGTGCTTTGTAAAGCCAAACTCTCATGCTTTGATTCAAAAACTGCAAAAGTCAAAAACAATGCATGAACTGTTTACCGGATATCATCAGTCATTACAATCATATATCAGTATCTGAGCAAAGTACATATCATGAATATCAAAATGTTGACTCATTCTCCGCGTAAATGCTTATAATTACATGATATTCCAGAAAGTCACGAAACAATATTCGTCTATGAAAAAGGTGATGTCGACAGATCATGGCAGCGTGCAAGTTAAACAGGATAACAGATTGTCAGATCATCAATCTCCTCATCACAAATCAGTATATATATCCGGTATTATCAATTCTTTATTCCACCATTACTAGTTAACTTTCTAAAACATAAACTATTAAAACCAGCAACAAAGGATCTCACTCTTGAGAGCCTAACGAGTACCATTTCTATATTTATATGATAGAAATAAAGAAACGTCAAGAGCACCAATTTGGGGACATATGACAAAGAGAACCTAGCCGAACAAAACTTCCCTCCGAAAAACAAGAAAGAAAGCAAATGCGCACACACACACACACACACACATACATAAACAACACACGGAAAAGTAAGGTAAGATCCAAAGCAATAATCACCCACAAAAAACTCAAAATGCTCTCCTTTTTCTCCTCAAGTTCTTCTTCGCGGTTCCAATATACCTAACCACCCGAGCCCGAAAATCTTCCTTCCTCAAAACTGAACCCACCAAAAACACAAATCAACAAACAATTTAGATCCTAGCAATCACTCCTCAAAAACTCAAAAACTCTCCTTTTTCTCCTCAAGTTCTTCTTCGCAGTTCCAATATACCTAACCACCTGAGCCTGAAAGGCGAAAATCGTCCTTCCTCAAAACCAACCCACCAAAAACACGCAGCAACAAACAACGTAAGATCCTAGCAATCACTCCTCAAAAAACTCAAAATACTCTCCTTTTTCTCCTCAAGTTCTTCTTCGCGGTTCCAATATACCTAACCACCCGAGCCCGAAAATCGTCCTTCCTCGAAACCAAACCCACCAAAAAAGCACAGCAAAAGAAACCCAAAATCCAATCTTTAGCCCCTGTCCTCCACGCTCCAGCCGAAACCCCAAACAGGATCAAACCCAAACCTCCAATCACAGCATCAACGTCTAACACTAACTCCTTGCCCAGAACAAACCACGCGCCCACCAAACCACAAATGACCAAAATGCCCACCATCCCCAATTTCCCCTTTCTCCTCCTTCTCCACCCATCGGACCAGCCCCGCCCGAACCCGTTCCAGAACCCATTCCCACCTCCATCATTGCTGCCGCCGCCGACGCATTGCCGCAGCAACAACCCTAACGGCTCGGGTAAAAACCCTAGCTTCGATGCGATGACGCAAGCTGATTCGAGCACCAATTTTCCGGATTTTCCGATCCCAAATCGCTTCCTCCTGTTAGCGGCGCAGAGAATTGATAACCGGTGAGAATTCCGGCGAGGTACGGGAGCGAAATAAACGGTGCGAAGTGAAGGGATACATCTACCTCCATTAGGGGTGAAGAGAAAAGAGGGATTTGATGCGAGACGTAAGGTTATCTGCATATTTTTGCACTGGAAAAGTGGAAACTCAGACGAGCATTGCTCTCGACAGTATACCGTTGTTGTGCGAGCTGAAATTTTGAAAAAGTAAAATAAAATTAAAGGAAATGAAATTTCGTGATTTTTATTTTTAAACTTCATTATTATTATTATATTTATTATGCATGTGGACTGATTTAATCGAATGCTATGGCCTATGGGCCGCAAGAAAAGGGAATTGGTTCATAGAGCTTAATCGGTCTACTCAAATGTTAAATCATGAAAAGATGCACATGATTAGATATCACTATAGGCAAAATTTCACCATCGTTTGGAAATTTATATTTTTAATCGTGATTTTATGTTATTTCTTATCGTGGTTTTTTGAATGAAATTTTACGACCATAAAATCATAACTTGGTTAAACTGAATTAACGCCAAGTAAAACAAGTCAATCGATTCAGGAATGGGCCAAGAGGACATATAAGGAGGATTAAATGATTAAATGTTAAGTTAAGCTAGTACAGACTAAACTATGACGATGAACCATGACGAAGACAGTTATTACTAATAGACCTACCAAAGAAAAAAAGATGATCGTTAAACAAGTCATGTGCCTTAACCTTAGAATAGACGACTTAATGGAGAACATCAGACCTAAACACAATAAGCCTACTACCATTCAGTAGAATGACCTGAGGAGTCATGACCTATGGATATCTAACACTCCGACCTAAGGAGTGAGGAACCTAAGAACACTAAGAGACCTGAGTTAAGGTGGATTTAATTAAAAAAAAAATCTAATGATGATAAAAATAAAATCATGATAAGGATGAACACTAAGCATATGATTAAGTAGATAATGATTAGGGCAGCTTCGGGAAGAAAGGGTAGCTGGGTAGCCCAGACAACTTATATTAGGCACCAAGGTATTCCTGTATAAAATGAAAATGAGATAAAATTGCAATATTCTCTACAGTCTTTGCACTCTTTCAGAATTCTCTAGACACATTATACATTACAATCTCCTCCCCATTACTGGTTTGATCGTCGCAGTGTTCATGCTGGGAATCACTCCCCATCCTTTATTTTGTAGGTAATCAACTATTCTCAGACGATCGAAGGTTTTTCTCAGCCAGTTCAATCTAGATCTAGGTATCGACACATCGTGTTTTAATCTATGTGACAACCGATCCACATGATAAAACAACAAAATGTGAAATCCCAATAATTGTGATTTATGTTTCCATGTTGACTGCATATGAAAATCTTATATTAAAGACCATTTTTACTGTGATGCCCGTGCAAAATAATACTAAAGTTGTACGAGCTAATCTAGCAGTGTTATTATTGTTCCTTCACTCACTACTAGAAAAATTTCATCCTATCCATTAGGGGTGTTTACGGTCCGGATTGGTCCGATTTTAGCCCAAACCATGACCAAACCGGACCTAACGGTTAATTTTTTTTCTTGTCCATATCGGACCGGTTTTATTTTTTAACCGACCACAATCTGGACCGCATTGGACGGTCTGGTTTGGCGGTTAACCGGTTAAATCCAAAATCCTTTTTATGGACCTTCAATTTTTATTTTTTTTCATTTTGGACTTAATTTTTATTTTTCAATTTTGGGCCAAAAGAGATTATTTAGGCCTAAAATTTAAGAAAACAACAATAATGAAATAAAAAATACACAATTCGTCCCATAAGCATAAAAATACACATTTCGTCCCATAAATTAATGGAGTAATCGAAAAGAATTAGAAAAAAGAAAACACACATGTGCTTACAGCGGCTGTCGTGACGTGAGCGAAAGCCGAGGTGTGTTTGAGGCGCCGACGACGAAGAGGGCGGCGACTGTCATGAGGGAAGCCTGAGTAGGTGGGAAATTGAAGGAAAAAATAAGTCGAAAAAAGGTCGGGGAACTGAGAAGCCTGGGAGTGGGAAGATGGAAAAAATTAGGGTTAACTCAAAAAATTAGAAAGAGAAGATGGGAAAATCTGAAAAATGAAAAAACAAAGGTGGGAAAAAGTGAAAAGTTATCGTGTCTTACGAAATTAAGTCAACAAAAGGCCAAAAAGTGAATAAATATATTGTATTTGTCGGCCATAGTGAATAACTGAATGTATATATATATTTGTTATAGTTTTTTAATATTTGTCGGTCCGGTCCGGTTAAACCTGCGGTTTGCCGCAGGTAATCCGTTAACCGGACCGGTTATTGCGGATTTTTAAAAAAATTAACCACCGGATTTTTTAAGGTTTTTTTAACTGACCATTTAACCTATCCGCGGTCCGAATTGACAGTTTTTTTCGATTAAAACTGGACCATGAACACCCCTACTATCCATGTGGAGCCATCAAATCAACACACACTCATGGGTGTGTGAAAGTATATGATCTGATGGCTAAAAATCGTGTAATAGCACTACCCACAGGTGTAGGACCGAATCTGTTTTGTACTCGATTGTTGTGATATAGCCAAAGTTGGCACTCGCACAACCAATTCCAAGCAGAAGCTACTGGCTTGGCTTTAACTTGAAATGTTGCTTAGCATATGGGCTGCAAAAGAGTTCGATTACGTTATGCAAAGCAACCACTATTCTTAACCTTTCCTCATTCTTTGAGAAAAATATGGCCTTACAAAAAGCTGTTGCCAAGTAAACTTTTAAATGGAGGTAAGATTTAGCTGTACAAAATAGTTGGGCCAAGTCTCGACGGTCGACTATGAGGCCGCAAGATCCATGTGCACAGCCAGCCATGTCTACGACATGGGTTGTCTCCTTCATATGAAAAATCCAATAGTCGTATCAGCTTCAATTCTCAGGACAGATGTAGATTTTCACCCAAACTCAAGCCAGTGGCAGTTGCAAACTATTGTCCAAATCAACAATCCAAATCTTTCCTAATGCATGATCCTGTAAACTAGTTGGTGAAATACTTTCTACATCATCTGCAAACATTCAACCCAAATAATTTTTATGTGAATTTTTCTTGCACGAAGTAGATATTTGTCATATATGGATGCTAGTAGTAAGCCTCATTTTTATCAACAGCATATGAATAACCAATTTCACCAATTCTCATTTCATATCTAGCATTTCCATTTTTTTTTTTTAATTTGACTTATTTACAAATGGACTCTGTTTAAAAACAATCGACTAGATATGGAATGAAAACTGTCAAAATTGGTTATTCATATACCACTAATAAATAAAAGTACTGGTTAAAACTGATGGATCACATGGATCACTCACTACTATACTGGGTTACTACTTCGTACGACAAATATCTCTCTTTGCTACGTAACTTCGTGCAAAAAAAAATTCACATAAAAATTATTTGGGGTGCATGTTTGCTGATGACGTAGAAGGTATTTTCATGCACAATCGTCATCACACGACAAACCATAAAGAGAACTATAAAGAGAATCCAGCAATGATGAGGCTGACAACCATGAACACCACATAGAGCGCCACAAGGCAGAACCCCCAGAACCTCGGCACCCTGAACCTATTCCAAATCACGACCAACAACGACCCCATCAAACTCACCAACAAAAACACAAACGCCACCACAATGCTCGTGTGGAACCGAAGCCTATACGCTTCAGGAAAAACCTCCGCCGTCTGCATCACCAGGCCCGTCCCAAGCCCGAACAACATATTGAACATTGGACACGCGAAGCAGCCCGCCATCGCCATCGCGGGCTGCCCGGCCCGCGCCACCGCCACATCAGCCACGAGGTCACCCAACGAATTCCCCCACGCAAGCACCGTCAGCCCAAGTAAGGCTGGCGGGAGGCCCAATAGCTCGCCGAGCGCGGCCAGGCAGCCGAGCAGCTCGCCGGCAGCTGTCGAAATCCAGAAGACACTCATGGCGAAAGCGGCCAGCACAACTAGGATTTGTTCAGATTTGGGTGGGTCCCGCTCAAGTGCATAGTGGAGGACAGCTAGCGAGCAGCTCCCGAAGAAGACGATTGACCAGAGAGGAAAATGAGTGTTTGGGAGGAGGAAAATGACGGGATGGTCCAAAGGCATGAATGATCTGCAAGAGTAGAGAAATGCGAGCGGGCAAACGGCGATGTTGGCCGACTGGTAAAATCTGCTCCACTTGGTTGGGGAAGTTTCGGGGATGGTGAGGTTCAGGAGTGTGGAGACGGGGACTTGCCATGTTCGTGAAATCTGCAGGTAGAGAGTAGCATTTTGGATTATTCGGGCATGTGGGAGTGAATTATTTTGCGTAATGTAGAGATGAAAGTAACTAATTTCTGAAAATTAGAAACTGGGTTGTGAGTTGATCGTGTTATCATTGGCGTAGATCACAGTACAGGATTATCATCGAGCATGTGCATATATAGGGCCATAGGACAAATGTTTGGTTTTATTGTAATTTTTTAATCAGAATATTGTCATATTGACGGATAGAAATAAAGTATAGATCATTCCTGGCCAAATATTGTGGTTACAAAAGGAAACAAGCAAGTATGAGGCATTTTATGTTTGTTAAATGAGTGCCAAAAACAAGATTATGTAATTGATTAGAAAATGATGATAGTGGATGGTTAAACACGAGAATTTGGGAAGGCCAACGCTATTGCCATTGGTCTTACGCATATACCATAATAAAATCAAGAAACTCAAAAATTATAACAGAGTGACGTGGCTATACTTATAGGTATATTTTTCATGTGTTATTTAGACTTTCTGTTTTCTTGTCTAGTAGACAAAAGTAGTTGATGAGACAATGGCACAATGTTCACCTACTTCCTACCAAGATTAAATTACAGAATACAGATAATAAATACCTGAAGATATGCATGACCAAAAAGAAAAAATGAACTATCGAAAGTAGGTAAGCTTCTTTCTTTCTTTTGAAGCACTCCATCTCCATGCACACAGAAGGATTATGATTGGAACATCAAAATACCGACCAGATTACATTCATATGCAGCAAGAAGTAGAATAAAGAAGGGACATAAAGTCCGAGCTGCACTGTTCATGCTGAAAGAATATCTTATATATATCTTAAGCAGTCAGCATTACAATGGAGATTATAAATCACGTCTAAAAACACACAAATGGAATTTAGACACCCAAATAATGAAATAAATGTCATGGGAAAAAGGAAAGAATGTTGTACTGCCTCATCCATGGAACTGGATAACCCAGCCTCTCAAAGAAATTTACCATTAGCTTGCAAAAGCGGCATTCCAAATAGTTTTGATAAATTCAATCATGGGCATTGTAAGGAAACTACCATGTTCCCTTAAGAAACTCTAGCAAAGCTAATTACTTCACTCTAACGTAGTAAGACACCACTGATATATCTTATTCTCAACAAACTACTGGTGACAAACTAGATTCGGAAGTAAGGAGGGTGATTCGGAAAAGAATTCTTTAAGTTCTGTCAAAGACAGAACACATCACATTTTTGAATTTCAACATCCCAAATTTCCTCTCCTACTATAGCAATATCTAGAACATCTCACATCTCAGAATGCTAAAAAGGCAATCCGTAGAGAATAACTGATATGCTAATTACTAAGATTGTCATTCAAAAAAATAGCCTACAAAAGAGTTGCCTAATACCATCATTCCTTCTTCCTTGACACATAAATTATTGTCATTCTTTCAATATTGACTGACTTTCTACGCATAGAAAATTGGGTCACTTCATATCTCAGTGTCCCATTTGTAAGGACTGGGAGCAGAGACAAACTGAAACATTTGCAAAGGCCATACATAAAGCAAATAAAACAACGTTCTTTTATACGATACAAATGCCATGAGCAATAGTTTCAAACATCATCTCATTGTTCATTTTTAAGACTCGAATCATCTCAGCAGTGGCAAAAGATCCAATTAAGCCATCACAAACATGCAGGAACAATAAAAGGAAAGGCCATTAAACATATACAGCTCAAACATGCAAACAAAAGTGCCATTGTCGAAACCAAAGAATCACCAAAGCACTATGCGAGTATCGATAAGAGAAACGGATTGCAGCAAACGTACCTTCTCGATGATTTTCCACAACCCAAATTTCGACCTCCTTTCAACTTCCAACTCTCCCAACCCCCCATTTTCACAGTCCAATCCAAGAGCCTCACAATCCCCAACCGAACCCAGCAACTCGGCACCACAATCACCGGATCTCTTCCTTCTCTCCCCACCGGCATACCCCAAATCCATCCAGAACACAACCCCAACGAAGAAAACGTAAAAACCCACAAACCCCACCGCCTGCCACAGGTAGATCTCAGCGCTCAGGTAGACGTAGAACAGGAAAAGCGCTGCGGTCAGGTAGAATAGCACATCCCTCACGAACGGCGCCGGATCCACCGAGAACGGCGCCGCGTAGATGGCGACGAAGCCCACCACGAGGGCCGAGACGAAGGTCCCCGCTGACAATATCGCCCCGAACCCGGTCCTCGGCTGGCCCCCCCTAACGGCTGCGACCGACGCGAACACATCGGGAGCCCCATTTCCAAGGGCTAGCAGCGTCACCGCCCCCATCGACGGCGACAGGTTCATCCGGGCCGAGAGCTTGGTCACGACGACTGAGAATCGATCCTGAGCGGTCTTGACCAGCACGTAGAACTGCAGCAGGAGGGCCAGGACGAGGAAGGGGATGGAGAGTACAGCGGTGCCGCGGAAGAGGCAGGTATGGACGGAGGAGTAGTTGAGGAGTCCATCGGAGGAGGTGAGGTCGGACAGGGAGCACTTAGTTGCGGCGGCGGGGAGGATGAGGGAGATGAGAATGATCTTGAGAGTGGTGGAGAGGTTGAAGGCCATATGCCATTGCTCAACTCAACACTGCTGCGTGTATTATTGGGCTAATGCTTCACTAATTTACGCGCTTTAGCTTTAGAGCCTTTTTTTTACTCTGGGCTGATTTTCATCACTTCAGAAAAGGACGGATTAGATCTGAAAAAATCGCGGAGTATTTGACTTTGAATATCTCGTTCATTTTTCGACTTCCGAGCATGTGATTGTGAATTAAAAAATTGCACCAATTAAATTAAAAAATAAATAAGTATTTTTACATTATTTAAAATATATAATTTTTTTAATAAAAATTAAAAAAAAAAGCATTATAAAGTAGTGATAAATAAAAATTACTGCAATTTAAGACTTAATTAAAAAATAAATTATACATCAACATTTATAACTATTAAAAATTAATATATTTGCAATTATGAAAATAAATGTTGTGTTCCTTCGAAACGTATATCCTCAGAAATTCGCTTCGGCGACCAAATCCCCAAATTCACTCCTCCTCGGCGTTCATCAATTCGCTTCGATTGTGCTCCCTCAGCCGTCATCCAGGCTCGTCGGTGGACGGCCTCTACCACTCATCCACAGCCGCGGCACTTTCGTCCTCCGCCTGATTCCACTGGGTAATGGCTAGGGTTTCAGCGGACTCTTTTTCCGCTAGATGGTCGCCGGCATTCAGTGGGGTTGGGGCTCGGCGGGGTGCGGCGGTGCATGGATGAGGCTTGTCTTGCTTGAATCGGCTTTGGTCGGGGCGGTTCTTCTTGAAGGCTTGGAGGTATGCCCTTTTGCGCTTTTCCGGTTTCTGCCGGGGCCGGGTCGCCGGCTCCTCGTTTGTGCAGAAGGGTTGGGTCGGGGTTATCCTTGCCGGCTGGGTTGAACGGAGGACGCTCCTTTCGGGCAGATTCGAAGCGGCTGAGCTCAGAGGCCTTTCTCCCCCTTCCTCCCCTTTCTCGATTTCCGAGTTCGTGGGCGGCCGACTGTTCTTGGGTGTAGGCTAGTGGTGTTAGTCGGCCTCGGGACTGTGTCGGATCTGCTAGTGGTGTTAGACGATTGGGGGGAGATGGTGGCTTCTTGTGGTTGGAGTGCGGGTCGGTCTCTCGGATTGTTTTTTGGGGCTTGGGTCATCGTCTTGCTAGGGCTTATGCAGTGGTGGGCGTGGTACCGGAGTTTCGGAGCTCTCCTCGGAATCGACTTTGTCTGCTGCTTTGTCGGTTGTTACTGTTGAGGGAGGCTGTGTTCTTTAGTGTGTAGTTGTTTTGTTGCTAGTATTTTTCGATTGTTTGTTCTGTTTTTATCGTTTGTGTTAGTGATTGTGTTAGTTTTGTGTTTTAGGTTTGGGCCGTTGGCCTCAGTTTGAGCGGGAGCAATTTATTGTCCTGTGGGACCAGCTCCTGTCTCTATTCTCCTGTGGGGAGCTTTCGTTGTAGTTTTTATTTGTGTTGTTGTGTTGTTGTTTGAGTGCCTTGTTTTGGTTTCTAGCATTTGCTATAGTCGGGCTTCTAGGCGGTCGTCAGACCTGTCCTCCTATTTTTTTTCAGCTGTGGGCTGTGTCCAAGTTGTATCTTTGCACATTTGTGCACGTTTATTATATAAAATCCCTATCGTTTTGGTAAAAAAAAAAATATTATTTTCAATAAATGTAATTTTCTACGGAAAGAATGCCCATACAATTGGGCCAACTCAACCGTGAAATAGAAGAAAATCAACAGTAATATTGGGCTTGTGGCGAGGTAAACTTCCATGCAATGGTGCCTGAAGTTGAGCTGCCCAGTGTGAGAAGTACCTTCAAGGCCCAGATTAAATTAATTTATTATTTAAATATTTATATTATAATGCTTACATTAAACATTTGTGAGGAATAATTATAAGATGTTATTTTTGAAGTCATTCAAATACTATGATAATTTTTGAATCAACTATCCAGTTTTATTATATGCAAATATATTAACAATATTTCTATAAAAAAAAAAATTATACCCAAATGCACTACTAAGATCTTTTTTTTATAAGCTTTATCGTTCTTTGTTATCCACGTGTCTTTTTATTTTGTAAAAAATTAAAATTTGAGATTAATGGATAAGGAAATTTTTTTTTTTTTCGCCTTTTCTTATTTTTCCAAGTAGAATATTTCATCATTTCTAAAACTCCTATTATAAATGTGGTTGGGATTTTTGTTTGTTTTATATTTCCTAAACATAACTTCTTCACTGTTGTTTTTTTATCTCATTTTTCTGGTTGATTTTGTTTTCTAATAAATTAAATTTGAGTTTCAAATTTTCAATCACTGCATAAATAATATACTCAATACTGTAGATACATAATGTATATATAATCCACAAAATAATAGAGTAGAACTTTTAAAACCCATTCAATTTAATATAAAAATATATAAATAGTTTTAACAAAGCTTGAATATAATAAGTAGCACTTTGAAAACCTTTTTAGCCAACCACGCTTTCAATCTCTATGCTAAACAGTGTTGTTTGCTGTGCGAGACTATCAGTCACCGGCGGAACAAATTCCGGGAATAAGAGAAGAGCCGGCGAAAATGGTGCTCCGCAAGTTCGTCGTGGAACACGGAAGCTCAGCCTTCGACGTCGACTATGACACAGACGACGGCTTTGAGGTTTGTTGTCTTCACCCCTCTTTCTTTCCGCTCCGTCTCTCTATCCATCTCTTATCATATTAAATTCGTCACTGTCAACCGATCATCGTCTTCTTGTCCGATTGCGTTTCAGGTGCTCAAATTCCAGCTCTTCTCTCTCACATCCATCCCTCCTGATCAGCAAAAGGTCACGATCTCACTCGTTTTCTTAGTTTTCGGCTCATCGTGCCAATTATAATGGATCAAGAGTGTGTAGACAAATTCTCTGCGTGTTTCACTGTTTTTTGGTTGTACTGTATTGTGCAATTTGATGCTTAGATGTTCGTTTCGCATTTAATAAGGATTGTTTCTTATTTTATAGGCTTACACGGAGATCCTGGCATTATGTAGAAAGTAGGAGTGAATAATTATTTATAGTTTTACATGATTATGACATGAAGCTTTCGATCACACATTAGCTTGTCGTTGATTTCTATAGAACATGCTAAATCCACCCTAGGAAAATCTTGTGAAGTTTGCATAGATCCTCGTTTTATTTTTAATCACTATATTTTTTGTTGAAAAAAAAAAAGAAAACAAATTTGTATCTTTCGATCATGTTAATACATATTTTACCTCTCCAGAGCTCATATCAAACTTGGCAAATTCTCGAAGGGTATTGTGTTCTTGAACATTTACAACCAAATTTGTTTTTGGTATATATTTTATGCTGAAATGACACTTATTTTGGGATGTATGGAGTAGGTTATAAATAAAAACCATCTTGTATTCTCCGTATCAACATCAAATAATTCAATCACAGAGCCAGGGGGCTGATCGTTGAATAGGATAAATAGCGTATCTAAAGTTGGTATCTCCCAGCTAGTTCTCTGAAACTGGTCACTTGGTTTTGCCACATTTTCATGCTATTTAAGCCAGATCTTAGATGTCTCATGCTAGCTTGTGAGTCTGGTTAGATAGATTTGTCGAATTTATTGGTGATGTTTTAACTTGGAATTTCAGATAATTAGAAGTGATGATAACCACATGGTATTGGAGGATTATGATCTCGAATCAGTGTGTAATAAGCTGCGGTTGGTGTCAATTGAGGAGGATGAAAATGCAAAAGAAGTTGAGAAACCTGTGGCTGATTTTGTGACATCTGATGAAGAATTGGCTCGAATGCTGCAGGTTTTGTGTGTTATTCTTAAGTTGCTCCATTTTGATGTCCTATTATTTAACTGAAATTTTGTTGATCTATCTGGCCAAATATCGTAAGATAGGTTTGGGATAAGTTTCGGACTTCCAAGAAAATAGTTGAATATCAGGGTCGAGAAGATGAGTTTCTGTAGGGTAGAAGTGTTCGGAAAGCATAATAGAAATCTGCAAGGCATTTATTTTATGTTAGCACTTAGCAGGTATTATTTAATTGGAAATTTGCGTTAAAAACTTATATGCTGGAATCCTTAGCATTTCTTTCCCAATATTTTCTTATTTTACTTGGGAGTTTTTTTGGTTAAACCGTCAATACAGTTCTTGGGTGATTATAAGACTCTCTCCCTCTCTCTGGTGGATTCCCTGTACTTTAAATTTTCAGACTGGAGTTATTGCTTGAGCAATAATCTCAATGTTCCTCACTATAAGATTGAAAGTGAAATATTCAAATGAAAAATTTGGAGTGTTGTCCGTATAGTACTTGCACTTTTTTTTTCCTTCTAAATTATTGGAGAAGGATTTGATATCTCGAGAAGGAACATGTTATCCCTGAGGTACATAGATATATGTGTAACAGTGTAAGTATAGTTTTGTTTAGTACCTGTGGAAAATTACTTAATGATTCTGTTGCTTTTGTTAGGCAGAAGAAGAGGCATTAATGATGCAACAGTTTGTGACTAGTGAAAATAGAGAGCAAGTTGAACAGAAGATTCGACCTTATCTTGATCAAGTTCTAATGGTAATTATGCTTCATATTATGTGGTTCACCGTTTTTTAACTAGTAATAGCACAGAACCAGGGAATTGCAAACAGTTTTATTATCTCAGGTGCAGTGGTGTTAGTTTTATCAAATTGTTGAGTAAGACTGGATCAAAAGGTACTCATATATTGCTTACTCATTAGAAATGCATTCAATTTGGTAAGAAGGCTTATTTATATTTGGCTATGGAGAGTATAAAAGAAAATTGTGTCATTTGTATCACTATATGCATGTTGTTGGCACAGTATGAAGACACACATCGGCAAGAGGCAGCTCGAAAGACGGTACCCGTGGATAAGCTTGAGGAGAAGGCAATGGTTGCCTTGGCCAGGGTTAGGCTCCTATGTCCACCACCACCCGTTTCTTTTTCCTTTTCTTTTGGCCTTTTCNAATAATACAGTTTTTGAAGAATATGCATGTCTGTCTGTGTTATTCTTTATTTCAGTTTATACTTAGCATTTCTGTTCTATATTTTCCTGCATTCAGGAGGGAAATTGCAATCCGACGAAAGATCAACTTGATCATGCATTCCTGTTGCAGTTGCTCTACTGGTTTAAGCAGTCATTCAGGTTCAGATGTATTCTTCGTTATTATGTACAACTTCATCAAATCTCTTCTATGTTATGGGATAATTTAGCACTTCAGTGTGTCAAAATAGCAAATATCTATTTATCAAGGTTTCTCCTTTATTCGAGAGATATAGTATAAATGCATATTTATAAGCTGAAGAGCAAGGTTAATATTTCACTGAGGAAGTTGATCCCTGGAGGCTTGAATGTTCAGTGATATTTTGCAAAACAACTGAACAGGAAAGAAAGTTGAAAACCAAAAGTTACGTTCGAGTTTGCTCACTGCAAATTGACTTTGCTTAGAACATATACCTGGTTTAACAAGGTTCAAGGAGGTTTAACGAGATGGAAAAGGGAATTTCTGTGTAGTGATTTATCTTGCAGACTTCTATAGAAATGTCCTCGGCTATTTCATTATCAAAAGCGCTGAGGGTCTGAACAAGCCAGCAGAGGAACCGGTCTTCCCGTTGATCTGACATTTCCTTCTCTGGTTTCGGAATAGAATGAGGGAAATTCTAATTTTAATATGTGAAGTATAGCTGCAGTTCTCAAATGTTATGTTGCTTTTAGGATTCCCGAAAAGTTTGCAAATATTATGGAGAAGACAGTGAGGGATTTTCATGGGAGGGGGTTGATTGAGGTGCTCACTTTCATCTTGCTGCGTGAGATAGAGTTTTGAGGTCGAAATGAAGTTGATAGGTGGAAACGGGTCATATTTTGTAGCAGTCATAGAATGGAAAGGATTGTGGAACTGAATTTATCTAACAACTTGATGCATAATTTGTGGGCTGATGGCAAAGTGGCGGAGATACAAAACGGGAATGAATCCATTCAAGAATGTTTGATTTGGGATCTTGGTGGATTGTGATAAACTTTTTAATTTTCTGCTTCTTTTAAAGCATCATCAACTTTTGTATTTGTAATAACTTAGTATGACTAGGTGATAGTTTATAGCATCTGCAAACGCTGACTCTATGGTGATAGCTTTGTCTATTCGGCAAATGGTGGAAGTGTTCATCACTTCTGGTTCCAAGTATCTTTTGCAACAAACCTCCATTTTTCATAAACCTGAACACGCATTTATGATGATTCCAGGTGGGTAAATGCACCACCTTGTGACAGTTGCAATAGTGAAACAGTCAATCAGGGCATGGGAGTTGCAAATCATTCCGAGTTACTTTATGGAGCATCTCGAGTTGAAGTATACCGGTATTTCTCAACTGCTATTTTTTACAGATGTTTGTATCTTATATGAGCAGATGTTCTGTATTTGAAACTCGATTAAACCCATGCTGCACTAAATACACTGTATACCTCATCTTCTTTTCGTCTTTACTATGTATATGAGTGTATTGAGCTAAGCTAGCGACATTGATATGATGTTTATGAATGCGTAACTGATGACGGTTACCGTGGATTGTGACCTTCAATAGTGAAGATGATTTTTTGCTATCTCACAAGGTGTTTAAGATATCCGAGTTATGACTTCTGTCAACACCAATAGTTACTTCTCATATATACTGCACACAATTGATGTCCGCAGATAAATAATTTATTACAACCCCTGGGAACTGGAATATGCTTTCTGTGTGTTAAATGGTGAATTCACTAAACATACCAAAACTTTTTCGCTTATATAACTTGAATGGTGAAGAAGCTGTCATTGTCCTTTACCTTGTAGTATTTGAAATCTGTACAAGGAGAAGAATACATTATTTCCCTGCTGCAGTTATTTTTTACGTCCATTTCATCTTGTGCAGCTGCAAGTCATGTATGAACCAAACCCGCTTCCCGAGATACAATGACCCGCTGAAGGTATGGTACTTCATGAAGTTGACCAGGTCTTGAATATACAGTTTGTTGATAAACATTTTTATGTAGCTTCTTGAAACAAGAAGGGGACGCTGTGGGGAGTGGGCGAATTGCTTCACACTATATTGTCGAGCTTTTGGCTACGAATCTCGGTTGGTACGTTCACTTATTAAAGAAATCTTATTGGTAACTTGCATTAATCTTAGAAAGGGGACAAATTCTGAGTGTAAGATTTTTTTTCTCTCTTTTAATAAACTAGTAATTATCTCGTGCTATGCACGGGTTTTTATAAGTTAACCATTATAATATAAAAATTGCAAGTATAGATTCTTCAGTGTTGTTTCTAATAAGATTCTCTCATTTATAGATTTTGGACCTCACAGACCATGTTTGGACAGAGTGCTTCTCACCATATCTTGGAAGGTAAATTTTGTCTTTCTGCTGTTCTCCTTTATATTATCTTCACCCATATGTTTAAGAATCGGAATATTCTATTCCTGGGACAAACAATGTTCAGATGGATGCACCTTGATCCTTGTGAAGGAATATACGACAACCCACTGCTATATGAGAAAGGGTAAATATCTTATAGATGGTTTATTTATTTCAATCCAGATACTGTACCCAGAAATGTGCTTTTTCACACTTTCTATTCCTGATATTATACTAATGTCATTGTCGCCACCTGAACTGGAATCGGTGATTTTTATTTGAAGCTGGGGAAAAAAATTGAACTATGTAATCGGTATAGCTAAAGATGGGGTTTATGATGTCACCAAGCGTTACACAAGAAAGTGGCACGAGGTACAATCGTTCGGTTTCTGACATGGGCCTTCCCTTTTCCCTCACATGCAGAAAAAAAACATATTCTTAGTTTGTGTTGTCTTTATTTTCTTGGCAGGTTTTGTCCAGACGAGTTATAACCACTGAGCCTACCCTGGCAAATATAATCTCCGATATAACAAAAGAAAGGCGGAAAACCTTCAGCAATGAGACACTCTTAAAGCTTGAAGAGCGTGACAAAAATGAAGTAGATGAACTTGAACGGGCCTTGTTCTCTAAAGACGATGCCTCGATCTCACTCCCTGGAAGGCAAAGTGGGGATAAGGAGTGGCGTATATCAAGATCGGAATTTGGCTCTGGTGACCACAGCTCCTTAAGTTCCTCATCCTGCCCAGTCCGTAAATGTGTGGATGAACATGTGACGAAAATTTATAATGCATTTTTTCCCATCATTAGTCAATTACTGGAGCTAGCGTATGATATATCTAGCGCAACAGAAATGCTCGAGTCTTTCAAAAGGATTTTGGTCACCCTAAAAAACTCCCCTTTCAAGGCCAGGAGAACCACTATAAATGCGGTGTCAGCTAATTCATTGTTCGGTAAAATGCTTCCCTCATTCGGTCAGTTGTTTGATGCCCTTTCATTAAGGACCAAATCAGGCGTTGATGGGGCTACTGATATACGCTCGGCTTCAGATCCTGTAAAAACGTCCCTAGCACTGCCTGTTGCCTTCCATGCTTTGGATGATTTAATACATAATTTGAACTGTTGCGAGAAGCTGAACAAAGAATCTCTGTCTTGGCCACTTTTGAAGCTTAACAGAATCTGTTCTGGCTTTGTACTTGCAAGTGGTGAGGAGCTTCCTTTTGGGATAGTAAGCACCTTTTAACTTTTCACTGCTCAGTAGAATCTTTTCGAAGATGTTTTTCCCTTGGTGTTCTCCACCTGATTATCATTGTTGGGAATGATCAGGCCACATGTGCATTTGATGGGACTCGTTTGTCAAAGTGGGAGGAACCAAATGGGGCAACAGGTTATCGTTGCTTTTTTTTTTTTTGTATACNCCCAAACATTCTCTCGAACTTTTTGGGATAAATTTCTTCTCTACATTTCTATGCAATGTTAATTTGTCCAACATTTTGCATGCCTTTGATCTCATAAAATCAACAATAGAGAAGATTACTAAACTCGTAAAATCTTTCTTCCTCTGCTTTCCTACTGCAAACTGGATTTTAAATATGTGGATCATTGGATTATATGAAACACTGATTTATAAATACTGAAATCATATATACTGTATGATCTGAACTTAGTAACTGTATACATCTTGTTGACTCTGCATTCGGTCTTACAGGCTGTTGGATCATATATAAGGTGGTTGAAAACCGTATGCACAAGCTTATTGCTTATGAATTGATGTCAGCAAACGATGCTCCAGAGAGAGACCCGATGGACTGGTATAGTGTTTTCTCAAATTCTCAATGTCTTCCAACTTTAAACTATAGTATACATGCCTGTAATTATTGAATATCTTAAACAGTGCTACGTTTAGGCTTTTAGTACAATTCAACTACTGCTCGAATTTTACATTTCAAGGTTTTGCCATTGTGGGCTTCTGTATCTGTTTCTCATTTTTGTGGTCAGAAGAATTTAGATAATTTTTTGTACTTCTGTTGAATTCCTGCTGCTTCAACATTAGCTGCTAACACACTTATACAAGTTGGTATATTGATCAAAAGTCCTATTCTGTATTAGTACCACACTACTGCTTCGAAATGTTTAACATTTAACCCATGTGGTAGTAATTTTATAATAAATATATATATTATTTTGTTCGTGTGGATAGTCGAGTGGTTAATCCAAATTATACTCTTGTAGGATCCTCGAAGGAAGTGAAGATGGAGGCTCCAATTGGCACGTCCTGGATGAACAGACCTCACAGATATTTAGCAAGAGGTTCCAGCGAAAAACATTTACAGTTGAAAAATCCCGATCATTCGTGGCAAATACCTTCAGGTGAAATTAATTTTGCTTAAATAAATAAATTAAAAAAAAAAAAAAAAAAAANAAAAAAAAAAAAAAAAAAAAAGAACAAACTTCTGGTGAAAGTTCTGTCAGAACCTTGCATCCCAGTGGATTTATAATATTTTTGTTTACTGATTCTGGTGAGTCATGGTGATTGCAGGTTTAGATTTCTTTCAGTTAGAGATGCCAAATCAACGTCACGGTTTCAGATTGGCAGCATTGATCTCTTCGCAAGCACAGACGATGTTCATGGCTTAGAATAATGAAAGCCCGAGTGAAAGCTCTAACTTATTGCTTCTCTTTCTCATTGGAAACTATAGACCTTTGAGAATTTCAGAAGTTGGCTTAAGCTAACAAAGTTGTTGTACCTTGTAATTTCATGTTTGCTGTTGTACTTTTTCGAGAATATAGAGAACATGCATAATAGTGTATCTTACAAAGGTGTACTTGTATTTTAGTGTTGGACTGTTCTATTGCGTATGTCCAAAATATGGATTAGACTCGTGCATTTCAAATGTTGAAAGAAAGGAAGCAATTACATTGACAATTAACCTTGACTGGGAAGTATTTCATCTACTTGGAATTCGATTAATACATACATATGTCAACACTATTTCTAAATATCGTTGATTGATAAGTGATGCTAAATTTCTTGAATATTTTTATCCTCAAACTATTGTTAAGAGTTTGAATAAATCATTTGAAATTGAATTTTGAACCAAACTATTTTTTTACAATAATTTTTGTGAATGTGGAAGTTCTTTCCTCGTGTGGAACATAACGTCAAGAACTGAATTTTCCCATATGCAGAAATATGAATAAACAAAGTCTAATCATTTTTACATGCACCCCTAAACTCAATTTGTTAAAAGCCACATTTTACCTGATTTAGCCGAAAAAAAGGGCAATTTATCCAGCATGTCCACACTGAACTACGTTCATCCATTCCCATTTCCATTTTCCATTACACAAAGTTGGGACAATATGAAAGGGTAATGGCTATAATGGCCACATAAATTTCCCTTCAAAGAAGTTTCTCACTGGACTTTGACGTGAAAAGACTCTGTTCATCAACTTCTCCCAGCTAAAACAAGTGATGCATTTTTAAGAAGTTTCCAAATAAAACAAATTTCAGACTTCAATTTGCTCATTCCAGACTTAATGCTCTTCAATCTTCTTCAAACCTTTCATATCTGTTGTTTCCACCCTGCAAGGTGAAAGGCTTCAGCACACTAAAGGGGCAATAGCACTTAAGTCCAAAATAGATCTTAATGATCCTTGATTCATATGAATGAACTGAACAAGAAGCACAAACCACAAATTGCAACATCCCTTCAATATGGTAAAGAGAAAAACTAGTTTCTCTTCCGTCTTTTTAGTATTATCATATTTCACTTCCCGTGTCACAACTAATACCGGCTTCTGACCAGTCGTTCATAAAATTATTCATTAGTTAACTCAAGAGTTCAAATGAAAGAAATGAGAAATTCTTCAGATTAAAATCATTGTTTCGCTTTCTACGTGTTACATCGCTTTGTGCAGACAACACGTGTAACAAAAAATAAAGAATCTCTGAAATGGCCTCCATAGTTTTTCTTTCGTTTTATTTTGAATCGTGCATGATTTCGTTAAGCAACAAGAATCTCGGTCCTCAAGTTTCAAAGACAGATATGTTATGATGGTGCAATGTGGCAACAATAGAAACTTATAAAGAGTATCTGTCCTATTTCTTTCTGGGAATACGCAAAGTGATAGGAGAAGAGCAATGTGGAACTTACGTAGTTCCGTGGAAAACAATCTTTTGAACTTTAGTAACTTCAGAACCAGATTGATTGTCCTCAATGAAAACTGTCAGGCTGATCCACAAAAAAGGTGTTCATGTTAAACTTAAACATAAAAGAACTTACGGCATACTGGCACAAAAGACAATAAACACACCTGCGGACATTTTGAAACTTGACATACTTCACTATCACGGGCTTTCCCTACAGAAATTCAGAATATCGATCATGTGTCTTCAACAGTACAAAATTGTAACAACTACTTGAGTGGGGCCATGAAAACGCTAATGTTACCTTAAGGTTATCCTCAGATAGAACAGCTGTATCACTCGGAGGGAAATCATTGACATTGCTGCACAATACTATAATCAGGAAAATTTTGAAAAGCTGGGAAACTTTAATCCACTTAAAAAGTTAAATCACCATATTACCTGAATCCCATGTGCTCCCTGTTAGCAAAAAGTTTTACAGTTCTTGGGCCTACAAAGTTGAATTACATCCAAACATTGGAAGAAAACTCAGTAAATTTATTATATGCCCAAACACCAATTTATGTACAATTATTTTTAGTACAATTTATGTACATTATTAAACTTGTGAAAATGCAGCCACCGAACACAAAAGAGGAAGTGGCCATATCCACTAAAAAGATAACATTTTTCGTGAGAATAAGAATGAGGTAATTAGTAACAGGAGGGAAAAAAGTGAAGTAATAGCATATGCAATCAACCATCACAGATGAAAGAAACGCTGGTTACATTTTCAACAATAAGACAAAGGCATTACAAATATTCATTAGCAGAACAAGAAGGATATCAGGAAAATAATTTTAATGGAGTACAAAAGACTTTTAAGGCTTCCAACAATTGGTTTACCTTCTTCCTCTGGTCCTTTGATTACAAATGAATGGAGTTTAATAACTTGAGTAAAAGGAATATAAATCAACAGTTGTTCATCAGCATCGCTTTCCAAATACAACCCATCGTCTTCTCTGTAACCCTGATTTAAGAAACAAACCAATATAATTTAGAGACAACAATAAAACAAATCCAATTAACATCAGCATCAACAGTAACAAATTCCAGGAGACAACAAAGAAAACACAAGCTAACAAAAAAATGTAGATCAACCGCCGTAGAGGATTTAAGCCACAACAAAAAGTGACATGATATTGATGACTATCAAGGTATTTGTGATAAAGGAAAAGCAGACACCAAATGCTGAAAGATATCAGGCAGAAAAGAAATCAGTCAGCAGCCTAGCTTCTTTTTTNAGGTCTATTAACAACACTGATTATAACAGTCCTAAATCCAACAAAAGGTGAAATCCATGAAAGCCCCTATTGTTTGCAGAAATCAAACACCCAGAGAAAAAAAGCTTAAATAAATCCTCAAACCCAGTACCCTGATTGTAAGGAAAAGCCGCAGATAAGCCAAAACAGATTATTCGGAAAAGCTACTCAACAAATCGGGGTACATGAAGATAAACACAACATAAACCCAAATCCTTAATCACAAGCTGGAGCAAATAATAATACACCTGTTTGAGAGCATTTGGAAGAGAGTGGCTGCCGCTTTGATTCAAGCATTCCACACCAGACCAGTCCACGAAGTCCAGCAAATCAACCTGTATGCATACACCAAAATGCTTGATCATATACCTAAAAAATCTATGTCTGTTCCTAATACGCGTAAAAACGAAGCAGAAAGTAAATGGGCAGAAAAGTGAAGTATGTGTTATATATACTTGGCTTCTTGGGATAGCAGATGCTGATTCGCCGGACATGGCTGCCGCCCGCCGCTGCTAATTTCGGTGAGAGAGAGAGAGAGATCGGTCCTGAATGAGAATTTTTTATCAGAAAAATGTCAATAAGAGCATCAATTTTGACATTATGGATCTTATCATGAACTCTTTCATGATGAGGTGGATGTCATTTAATGTTGACAATGTTGAGCACACTTTCTAATATCTAACACTATGTTAAACATGATGACTCATCAATTTACTTTATATTTGTTTTAATTTTTTATTTTTTTTATATCAATGAATTATTTAATTGGTCCACCTATATAAATAAATTCTTATCAAATTGATGCATTGGAGATACTAGTTTCATTAAAATTTTTAGTCTTTTAACATTATTCCAATGTGGATTAACATTACAATCACTAATTGACATGTATTAAAAATAATGGTCTTTCACACTTATAGCATTGGAGATGCTCTAAATCGTTGGGCTCTGTTTGGCAATTGCACTACAATAGATTCGAGTCCATGATAATTATGATTATGGTTTATGGAATGAGTGATGAGATATGAATTTGATTGGTTTTTTACNTAGTATGGTTAGTTGTTAGTGAGAGTTTAAAGTTATATTAAAATAATATTTAAAATAAGATAATTAAAATATATTTGATGTAAAAGTAGGAGAAAGATGACGTGAAGTGATAGTTAGTTAAAATTATGTGAATAAATGAATAGTAAAATCTATCTATATATAAAAAGGTTGTTGGATAAATCCTTTTTGGAAACTTTTGACCAAATAAATAATACATTTGACATTCTATTTATAGAAAGTTTGAAAACAATAATTGTGTAGTTTATTATTCACGGAAAAATCACAATTTGAATTCAAAATTAATGGTGTAGAGATAATATTGGAACAATAATTTTTGGATAACTCGAAAATCTAATCACTTAAGAGTAATCATATTAATTAATTTATTATCTATAATTATATATATATATATACATATATATTAAGAATTATTATTTACCAAAAATAGTAGCAAAAAAATAGGTCAGAATTTAATGCAGCTTATAAATAGTAAGTTTTATTATTTTTCTTATTTTTTTCTTTAAAAATCATACAACATTAAATTCTACCTTAAATTTCGGGTTTTAGTTTATTTTATTACTTAAAAAATCCGGCTAAGATTTATTAAGTGTATATGTTTTTATTTTTATTTTTTTTCTTAGAAATAACGAACAACATTAAAATCTCGGTCTCTATATTTATAAAATCTCAATTCAAAATATAACAAAACTTCTAGAATCTCGGTCTTATATTTGTGCCTTTAAAAAAATATTTTGAACGCTAAAAATATTCTTAAATTGCATAATCAATCAATTAATCTTAATTTTATGAAAGTTACTATGTTTATTTTTTATTAATATGCATAAAGTAAAAATAATTAATTCATTTTTAGATATATAATTTATAATCTTAATATAATATCATTTGGTGTAGACATTTATTATATGAATCATAAAATATTTTTATTTCATAAAATTAAATATATTTAAAGAAAATAAGAAAAATTTTTGGATCAATCGGGTGATTGAATTAGGATACTGCCCAGGTTGATTGAATTACTTTTAGGTGATATTTAAGATAGTCATAAAATTTGACACAACATGGTTGGTCCCAGGTGACTAAGTTATGTATCAGTTTGACCACAACAAATCGATTATTGAACCTAAATATAAATTTTATATTGAAAATATTTTATTACGTGAATGTGATGTAGTCCAAACTTCAAATAATCGTATTAATAATACTTTTATGACAACATGTTTAATGATTTATGAATACTTATATATCATTTTATTATTAATTATGTGAATTAAATAATATTTTATTATAATATTAATTAATGTACAGTAAATATAAGGTTTTTAGAACTGGACCATCATCGAAACGATCAAGCTATTTTATTAAATCATTTGTGGTTTGTTCAGATTTTAATTTATAAAAATTTTAATATATATATATATATATATATATATATAGTACTTTTTGTAACAAATTTAAATAAAATGTGTTACTTAGATATCTAAACAATTTATAAATTCAAATGTTTAAACTAATTGATAAATAATTTATAAATCTCTATTTTATTTAAATATTTAATTTATTTAAAATAATTTTAAATATAACAAAATTTATTTAGAAAATCGTATCGATCCTACTAGTCCAACCGACTGTATTGACAGATTCGGGAGCAAATATTTTATTCGAGCGAGCTAGACTGGTTATAAACTGGTTCTCGGTCCATCCGGTCAGACTGTGTCCAATCCGGTTTAATTTAAAAACAATGGATAAATCATGATTAATGTTATTTATATATTTAATTTATAATACAATCGTAATATTGTTTTTCCGTGCATCGCACGGGCCACGCACTAGAAAAAGATATTGTGATGTGTAATGATGATTGATTAGAATTATTTAATTATATGAATAAAATTGAGGATAATGAGATTGAGTTAAATTTGAGTTTTGATTAGTTTTTTACTGGATGAAATTATATTCAATCACACCCGTAGTGTTTTATATTTATTGCTAGTTAAATTTTGTGATTATTAATGTGTACATTAATTATCCATTCATATTTACATATAAATCACATTAACCATAAATACAAAACTTAAAAAAAGCCAAATACAAAACTTATATATGATCAATATATTCAGATTAATTGCTCATTCTCTTAAATATCAATCAAAAATATTTATATTAGTTGTGTTAGGTTGGTGTTCGTCTAATCAATAGGCTGACATGCCATTTTTGTTAAGTAATATATTTGTTATAAAATATCATATTTTAAAAAACAATAAAAATGTATGATATTAACAATAAATTTATATCATTGCATAGTATTCAAGTATGGTCATTCTACAACAGTTTTGCTATGGAGACATCGGATGGCTCGGCTTATGGAGTCATTCACACTTATTCACCAATAGTGTATTGACACGTGTCTTGCAATAAATACACTTTTGGACATGTGTTAATACATTAAGTAATGGATGACTCCATAAGAAAACCATCCGATGGCTCCATAGAATTTCTGTATTCTACAAATGATTCATGGATATTGGTAACATGTATGAAAAGAACTTTGAGTGAGTAGAAGAAAACGATTGACTTTGAATAGATTTAAAAGTGAAAGCTATCATAGAAATAAGGTAATAAAGAGAAATTACAATTGTTTTGTTTGGCATTTAGTTTTTGACTAATTGTATCAGTTGCTTTGACCATCAAATTATGTTAGTTGTTTTGACAGTTGATTCTGTTAGCAGTTTTCAAAATAAGTATTTGGTAAAATTAGTCATTATTAATTTGGTTGTTAACATGCAAAATTACTTATCAAGACACCAATATACTTTAGTATTATCATTTATGTTGAACCTATAATTATTTAGGAAATTCAAATTATATTTATTTTAGACATTTAGTAAAGTGATTTAAAATATACTAACAATATAAATTAGAATGATAATAATTCTTAATCGAGTAAATAAGTTCACGCCATATGAACAAAGCAAATAAAATAAGTCATTAGAAGTTAAAAAAAAAAAAAAGAAAAATTGCCAGTCAAATAATAAGTCATCACTAATTAAAAAAAAAAAATAAATGTTGGTCACTTACAATTTTTATAATTACATCTCAAAGGCAAAAATAAAATAAAACAAAAAACAATTGTTCTATAAACGATATTTGGATGCCAACAAACTTGAAGTTATATTATTATGAACGCTTGCCATCTCTCGAGTTCTCATCTCCCCATCACTTTGTGTTGAGGTATTTTCAAGGAAAACATTAGTCATCAAAAAGTATAAATTGAGGATTCACATCAATAACAAAAGTCTGGGTCACCAATTGTGTTTTTTTATTGTAACTGTGAAGTGCAAAACATGAACAAATGATTCTATTTTGATCCAATAATGAATATTTTGGCATCTTATACAGTGTTTTCCATTGATCCTTCAAAACACCAAAAGCTCTTACAACGCAACTTCTTAAAAATTAATGTGCCAGATTAAAAACTTCTTATGATCCCTTTGGATTTAAACTACGCAACTCATAATGATGATACATTGTCTTGGAGTAAGACGTTAAATAATATTCTCTTTAGCCTTTGTCTATTAAGTAATATTTACAAAATGCATACAAGTTATATTACAATTAAGATTATATTTAAAATGTGTGTGTGTCGCTATGTGTGAGTGTGAGAAGTTCAAGATAATTGTTGGCGACTTCGAAAATTTAAGAGTTGGATTTTTATCGTATCAAGAAAAATACGAGAAGCATGTTAATAGTGAAATGAAATTCACCCGGACTCCTTCAACTCGGACGGCCTCCGAACTTGCAAGAACCCAACGCCGGGATGGGTCCCGGCGTCGGGCCTCCGACGCCTAAGTCAGCACTCGCTAAAATGAGAGTGTAGTAATGAATGAATATAGAGAATGAGAGAATGAGAAACCTTAGCCCCCTTTCATAGGGGAGTGTACCTTATGGTCCAAGTTGAGCTTGTCCAATACCATCATGCCACACGTCCTAGGCCATGTGTAGGCTTATTCTCCAATATATTCCCATCTTTATCTTGTTGTCGTATGGATTTGAAACAACATTATCGTGAATATGACACAGATTAAAGCGATAATACGAGAATTGTATTGATTAGTCAATAGTCGATGTGTTTGTAACTGAGATGGAAATAGTACAAAATGCCGTCCAAAATGCCGTCCCCCTTCACTGAGGGAATTTCAGGCTATATATAGTAAGTTTTTGTTACACATTGTTCGAGGTCTCCAATCATTCAAGTTTTGTGCGAAAAGTAGTTTTACATGAGCGGTTTTAACAATCGGGCCCACGATCATCATGACGATGGGCACGAGACGTAAGGAGGTCGCGTAGGCGCCTTGTCACCTGCTTCGGTATTGATGAACTCGGTTACTTCCGAGGTGGGTTGTGAAGTCGGTAGACGGTGGTAAGATTTGAGGAAGTCGGTGACTTGCCTGAAGTCGAAGAGGACTTGGAACGTGGGTTTTGACAGTCTGCCACGTCGGTGGGAAGGCGCAATTCCGAGGTCACGTGTCAT